GGCTGCTATCTTGCCTCCTGATTAAAACTTCTGGATCCTGCCAGCAGGTTTGGCTTTCTCAAGGTTTATGGCTTTCTCATTCCCTCTTCTGAGATGATGCAAGCCTCCCAAGTCTGTACCTCTAATTTTGTTCCCACTCATCAGTCTTCTGCCAATGCAGACTGTCAGGAGCTGTCTCACACCTTGTTTTCAGGCAGCACCTAGCACGGTGAGCTCTCAGCATTGACTGAATCGCACTGCACTTCTGTTTAAAAATAAAACGTAACAATATATAATACAAAATATAACAACAATTTAAAAAATAAAAGATAACAAATAATAAAAATCCAGTAATAGTACCTAGAAGGAAAGGATGCAAGTGGGTAACTTTCCTGTCCAAAACAGATTTAAGGTGTGAAAGAACTGTTGTGGTTCTGACCAATTGGCAACCTGTAAAACAAAGGCCATTAAGTTTGAAGCATCAATTCTTTTATCATAGTTGTTATTGTGTTAAAAAGCTTCTCTTGATTTAAAGAATGAAAGTGTTGGAGCTTTCAGCACATCTCTAAATAACTAATTCTGATATTTATCATTTGCACTATTGAAGATGTTGCCTTGTACCACTATTCTAAATCTATTCTACTTCTGCTGTTGTTGTGCTTGTTTCTAACAGCCTGAAGATTAACAGCGATCTCTTGAGTCTGAAGGCTGTGATAAAGTGCCGAAGGTTGTAGCCTCTGGATTTTATTAATTTCATTCAGTATTTATGCAATGCATTTGTGCTTCATGGTTTACAAGGTCCCTGTCAGACACAACACTGTGCAAGTTTTTGTACAAACTCAGAACTGGTCCCTGTCCTAATGGTGTTATCCCCCAGAGAGCAATACGTTTGGGTGTTTCACTGTTCCCAGTCATCACCCTCTTCTGCTGACTGTGCGTCACAGATAACCTCCTCCATCATTTTATGTCTTAAACCTCCCTTTTTGTCTTCTGATTTCAGCCATGACATCCCTTCGAGGCATCCACTGGCTGCTGTGGACAGAGACTGCGAGTGTGGCCAGGAGGAAGGGCAAGTGAGGGAGGAGAATAGCCAGATCAGCATCTCTGGTGGTTCAAGGTGGTTAGTGGCCTCTCGCTGGCCCACCCTTGTTTGTGAACATCACGGCAGAAGCTGAACAATGAAGCAGTACCATCGGCAGTGGGCCATTCCTCACCAGCACAAGGGGCATAGTGCGGAAGGTGTGAAGTAAACGTCTGTGTAAACACCTAACAAGTAGGCAGCAGAGACTGGCATCAAGGGCTGTTTTAAGGTGGGAATCAAAATCCCAACAGCATGTTGCTAAGCTCTTTCCCAAAGAGTTTATTGTCCTTCTGCCCTCCCAGCCCTGGAATCTCTTAGTTTTAACAGGAAAATTATTTCACTCCTGCTTTTGTCCCTAGCTCAGCACTGGGCTCCTTTCCCAGACCAAGTTTTTAAGCTAATTTTAAAAAAAGTCTCTTTCCCCATGAGACAGTGAGGAGGCAGATGTGCTCTCTGACATGCCATGGCGTGTCTGCTGGCACTGCTGTGCTCCAAGCCCAATATTTGGTATCTCCACTGAATCAGATGATGTATCTCCAGCGGGACTGCTTGCCCTTGGAGACACTTTCATCTTCCTTCCCGTCTCAGAAGAATGGGACAGTCGCATAGAGCACCGGGGTCCTGCCCAGAGATCATGGTAGGAGACAGGAGATCTGGCCTGGAAAAATATTTGGAGTCAAGAATGTTTTGAAAGACTAGACTAGAGGGGTCAGACATGTGAGGAGAAAGATTTGCTATTTGTAGCAAATCCAGTGTCAGCCATGTGAACAGAGAGACAGGGCTGGAGGCACAGTGTGGGAAAGCAGGCAAACAAGCCCAGTAGCTTCGCGGCTAAAGGGTTTCAATGCTGGCATGTTTTTCAGGTTTGTTTTGCAGGGAGGGATTTTTTCTTTGAGACATTGGTCTTGGTGCTTGGGAACCCTGAGGAAGAGGAGGACTGGTCATCCATGTTATGTCAGTGAAGATGGATGAAAACCTCCTTTTGTTTTCCTTTCCCCCTCCTCCTCATGTTTTCTCCTCATTTTCTTGTCGCAGGAGACAGGCTTCTTCACCTCACTCACATCTCCCTACTTGACCCTGGATTTCCTCACACCTATTTCCATTCATTTTCCTCCTTAACCTTTCCTCAGTATCCCAGTTTCTAAGGAATACAGATCACCCTCAACTCTAATTTTTGCCCAATATCCTCCTTTTTCTTCTGGTCAACACCATTTTCTGCATCATTACCTCTTTTCTTGCCCTTCCCTCTCTCCAATCTCTCTGTCTTTAATCTCTTTTCCCCAACACACTTTATCTCTGATATGCCTTGCAAACTCTGTGTCCGTACAGTCTATTGCCTACTACTCCTGTCCTCCTACACAGCTCTGCCTGCCTCTTTGCATCTTCCCTGGGCTCCCTCTCCTCCATCACATCAAACATGCAGTGCTTGCCTGCACTGCTGGCCTTGTTGCACTGTCACCCCTCGGTGGGTTTGGCGGAGGCAGCCCCTGTGAGGCCACGCTGCTGCTGCCGGCTCATGCTGCTCACTTCCAACCCAATGTGCATTTTCTCAGAGCCCTTCTGCTCACATCAACAGCCTTTGGGCTGTTTTGAATCTGATATTAATATTTCCTATTGCATCACTCCCATCAGTATAAAAGCCTGTGATAGCAGATACGCTACTGGAGCACTGAGTTGTCAAAACCTCTGACCGACTCCGTCTCATCGTGTTTGACTCCTCTGTCTGTCTGTAATGCCTTGGTTGAGAGCGTGGTCTTCCCATGGCAGGGCAGTCCTTTGGCCTTTATCTTCCCAGCATGGTGAGTGCCACACCGTGATGATGGCACCCAGGCTCTTTAGTAGTAGGGATGTTAGCAAGAACAGAAAAAAATATCCAGCTCCATGTTCAAGGGTCACAACAGCTATCTTAAATTAGATAGAAACTGCAGACGGGCCTCACTTGGAGAGAAAATGGGATAGGGAGTAGAGGAGAAGAGCTCCATGCTGGCTTTCATATTGATGCTCTTCACAGGCTCTTGCTCTTCAGGCTGACTCAAGGGTTAGCCATTTGCTGCTAAATACAGAGCTAAATAGGCAGGCAGACCCCAGCCTCACAGACTGAAAGGAAAGAACTGCTCAGAATTTCCAAAAAGAAGATAAGAAGCCCTTGAGGCTTGGAAGACAGCTTGGAGCTGTGCATTCCCAGTGAGACAGAGGTGCTGCTTTGAGGGCAGAGGTTGATGTGCAGGTCCAGGGCAGAGGCAGGATGGCCATGTTTCCTGGTGGAAGTCATCAATCTGCTCAGCATGCTGGTTGCTGTCATACTCATCTTGAGATACCTCATGCTGCCTTTTCGTTGGATTGGGACCATGCCTATGCTGGGGTAATGTGTATCAGTCTTGGAGCAGGGTGTTTAAAGGCATCACCTGGCCTGGGTTTGCCTGGGGAGCAGGGCTTGCCATGCTTGTGAAGGTCTTTTCCTCTGCTGCCCAGGTAATTGCAAGCTTGGGATCAGACAAACATCTAATAGCTAAGGTTTTGCTTCAGTTCTTGATTTCTCAGGAGCCTTTTTACATCCAGGAAAATGTACTTTTAAACCTGTCTTTTGGAGCCACTGACTTCAGGTCAGGCTGTGTCTGTGCTTTCAGTTCCATCATCTTTCCTGAACATGACTAACTCTTTCTGTCAGGCTGGGTGAACCAAAACCAAGCCCTCTTACTGCATTTCCTGTTGTTCCCCAGCCTGTCCAGCCTGCCGGTGTCTCCCCCAGCTGATAACACCACACCAAGAGGTGCTGACGTATTTCCTTACCTTGATACTTCTAGAAGTCATCGCTGAGTAGAGGAATGATCTGATCTAAGAGTCCAGTCTATTTTTAGTGCTTTTACAGGCTCCTTCTCTGACCTTGGGCAGGCACTTTAACCACCTGCTGTCCCGTTTTGTCATTTGAAATATAGACTACCCCTACCTCGTCTGCAAAGCACTTGTGAGTTTGTAGCACTTGGAGATTTTTGCTTGGAAATCACCTTAGCAGTATAAACCAGCTTTGTCTAAAAGAGACGTGTCTTATTGGCACCCAGGATTTTTTTAAGGTTGTTGGCAACACATCTGATCATATCTAACTTCTTGGGTGGGAAATTGCACATTTTCTTGATTCTTAGGAACTGCTCTGTAGTCTCTCCATCCCCACTCTTCTGAAAACATTAATTTTCCCAGTCACTGAAGGAATACAGCCTTTACCCAGCAGTAGCTCTGCTGATCATAAACTCATCCTTCTGTCTGTTGTTGATGTCTCCCAAGGGAGGGTCTGCCAAGGTGAGGTGATACTGCTCCACAGGAGGGTTTTGGATGCCTATTACAGCTCCCAGAGAGCTGGGAGGAGAATGTCTTTCCCAGGTGCCTTAGGAGCATGTGGCTGGCAGCAACAGCGGTGACAGACACACCAAAAAGGGGCAAAGTGAGTTCCCAGCAGTGCCAGTATCCTGCCACCTCTCTTCTTCACCCTATCCCTTAGCCAGGCTCATGGCTGGAGAGGGCAGCTATCACCTTCTACAGGGGCTGTGAATCTGGCTTTGCAGCATCCCCCTGGCAGCCCCAGGAAGATTTCTGGCTGCGTCAGCCAAAATTCCTGCCGGGGACTGTGCTGCAATGCAGCACACCACACCCCCACCGGCGCTGAGTCCCAGCCTGGACAGCCGGTGCTGCTCAGCTCTAGCCCCACACCGCCGTAGGCTTCCCTCCTCCTCCTCATCCCAAGGAGCCCTGATGATTTCAGGTTGCTTGGCATTATTTCCTGTGGGCATCTGGCGTCCGCAGCGTGTGTCAGCGCAGCCGGCCGCACGTTCGGTTTCACAACGCGCTGCCTGCAGAAAGCGCTGGCTCCCCGAAGGGATTGGCTGTGGTTTCATATTTCATTTCCCTCGCACGCTACACCCAAATTCCAGACGCTTTCTGGCTTTGCTGCTGCATGGACTCAGAGCACAGGTCCTTTGCCGTACCCAGCGGAGGCAGACAGGGCTTCCCTCAGCTCCAGGGAGTGGACCATGAAGACGTCAATTGTATTTTTGCTTTGCATCTCAGTTTTCCCAGGCTTCTCCCAGGGCAGAGTTGTTGGAAAGGATGAAACTGGTTTTGCTGAGTGTAATGTCTTCTTCCCTGGACAAGTCCCACCTGAAGGATTTACGGAGCCATTCCACGTGAAAATCTGTCAGCAGTACAACAAAGAGCCACGCTTTGCAACCCTCTACAGTACTAAGGACAAAATCCCTCTTTATTCAGCTTTTAAGTATACAAAGCCAGCCCAAAACGAGGAGGAGAACTGGCTGGTCGAACCACAGGTAAGTCAGCTTTTCCTTCTCTGGAAGGTTTCCTCCGGGGTGAAGCTGGGGCCAGGATTTTGCAAAGGAGGAGGCAGCTCTGCTTGTTGAACTTCTTTCGATATTAATTTAACACAAGCAGAACTTACTTTTGTGCTTGGAACTGAGCAAACAAATAGTTCCTTGTCCCACGGGGCTTATAATGAAAGCTGGGAGGCTGCTGCCTGTGATGGGCAATGCCAAGGGAGAGGAAACTCATCTCTGACACCAGCTGATCCGTCCGTCCTGCCTAGCCAGCTATCGCGGGCAGGGAGCACTGCTGGTGGGCAGCAGCGTTGAACATCGCAGTGTCAAGTTGAAGTTTGTTCTGTTGCCAGTGTGATGGCAGTGTTGATAAGAGCTCTTTAGCTTCACTGCGCAGGGATAAAACATACATTTGCGGTTCACCAAGTTGACACTGCAGCTTTTTGTTGTGTCCCTGCGTTGCAGACTCTGGTAGGGAAATGAGCTTCCGTGTCCTGGAGCGTGCAGGCTTCGGTCAGGTTAGAAGTGTCCAGTATAAAATGAATTTTGCCAGAGCCTCAGTGGGTTTTGTTTCCCCTGACACTTGGCATGGTTAAGCAAGTCCTTCAGGCTGTTAAATTTAAAGGAAATCCTTAAAAAATTGCTGGTGCCCTAAGAGAATAAGTACACTTCTCTCTCTCTTTTTTTTTTTTTTTCTGTTTCAGGTTTTTCAGCAGTGATCATGGGGAATTTTGTAGCAAACTTCAAGCTACCCCCATGTATTGAGCTCAGGCAAGACTGGCAGCATGAAGGGTGCTTTGTCAGGGCAGGAATGGCTGCAGTATCAGAGCAGAGTGCTGGGAGCAGGGCCTTTGGGTGCTGGGTGCTGGACGCAGCCAGAATCAAAGCTCACCCCTGTCCCAAGGGAGTGGCTGCCATGCTCGTTTTCCTCATGTGGGGTGATGAGATACTAAGACCATGAGATCACAGGCAGTGAAGACAGGAGATCCTACGTCCCTGTCTTCAGCTTGGACTGTCTCCCTGCTCTCTGGGCTGGGTTTTGAGTTGCAGGAGTTCCCAAGGGCTTTCTTATCTGCTCTCCTTCCACTTCACAGATGGCTGTGGGAGGTGTCTGCTTGCCCTTTTAAAACAGAGGGAAGCTTTTTGCAGGCTGCCATTATGGAGTTGAGGAAGGGTGATGAGTTTTTAAAGCACAAAGAGGACCGAGGCAAGTGAGCATCTGCTGTCAGTGCCATGGAGGCAGCAAGGCAAAGCAGCAGAGGTGAGATCCTTTCCCATTTGCCTCAGCCGCTGATGCCTCTTGTCACCTCTAGCCACCGTATCTCCTTCTGCTCCTCATGGTCTGACTCACCAGACCTGCCCAGGCAGGCTTGAAAGCCGTTCCTGCCACGGAGCAGCAGGCAGCCCCTCCACAGCAGCTTCGGTTCTCCAGCACCTCCCTCCAGCTGGCTCCCCTGCCCTCCCTGCTCCATCCCTCTTCACCCCTCGCCTTGTCATCATCCCTGCCAGCACTCCAGAGCCCCAAGCCTTGTGTCTCCTGCCTTCAAACCATACTGCAGCCCCAGAAATAATTGACCTTCAGTCGATCTGGCTTCTCCAGAGCATCCCCATGGGTTGCTGTGGGTCTGTTCTTAGTTTACACTAATGGGTCCCTATTGCTGAAATGCAGGTGTCTCAGAGGTGGGAGATAGTATCGCTGTGGTTCATTGGAAGAACCTCAGTCTGAGACAGAAAACCACTAGAAAAAAATAATAGTCTGAAGAATCTGTAAGGAGAAGAAATCAGGACTATGAGAAATTCCTATAATTCAAGAAATAAGCATGTACACCACTCTCAGACACTGCCGTGACAGATCTGGGAGGAGAAAGTGGGGAAGAGATTTCACACCCATTATGTGTGTTCCTATCAAGGCTAGGTCAGATGGTTAGGAAAGGTCAGATGGCTGCTGAAGGGAATCCCTAGCAACAACTGCTCTGCAGCATAGCCCCATGAGGTTATATGGCCTTTTGCTGGGTAATTTCCTTGCCAAGACAGAGATAGGTGGGTATGAGCAGGCTTAGCTGCATAGTGGCATCTGCTTACGCCTATGTGCACGCACATGGAGATGCAGAGACACCGCAAGCAGAAAGAAATCACTATAAAAACACTCTGCACTCTGGTGAGGGCCTCAGGGCTGTCACATGGGTTTTTTTGGGTAATGATGTAAGTGACGAGGGCACCGTCTCACTCCCTGCATGCCTGCCTCCTCAGGAATTTCTGCCTGAGAAACAAACGCCAAATGCAACACAGAGGCAGTAATTGGGTGAGAAGTGTGAGGAATGTCAGTGCCACCCACTGCCGATTGGCAGCTGGAAACAGTGAATTAATTCAGTAATTAGTGAAAAATTAGAGAGGAGGCAGGGTAGGCTGATGAGCAGTGTACTGAAGGGACTCCCCCCAGATTTGGGTCTGAAAACCTGCTCTGCCACAGGTTTCCTAGGGCTTGAGAGCAAGTGACTTAGGTGGCTTTCACCTCATCTCATTTCGGTTGTCTGAAAACCTATGGGTTTGACTCTTTGTATAGATTAGAGAGAGATGAAAAACTCTGGAATTGCTTTTTCTGTCCTAACGTATGAAGGGCTGGATGAACCACCTTGTGTTTTCATTTGCTTGATGACTACCACCAGCCAGATGACCAAGGTGGGATTTGTACCGCACAGCTATAGCTACCTCTGAGCTTCTCTTGCCATCTCCCTTGGTAGACAGTCAAGAGAAGCAGGTACTTCTACACTCGTGTGAACGTCCTACAACAGAAACCTTGGCGTAAGGTGCACTGTGCCTCCTCCCTGGGCTGGTACTAAGGGTAGATAAAACATCTTTACTGCAATCAAAGGCGTAAGCGTGCCTGAGGGAATAGCGAGGGGAGTGGGATGCTGAAGTTTGTCTGGAATGGTACTAGGGTGGGGAAGGTGGGAGGTAGCAGTGTCCCACACTGTTAAATGGCCAAACTTGATGGAAGCTGCCTTCTCTAATAGCTGTGTGTTGCCATACTTTTAATCCCCCTCTGCCTACGCCCCTTCTGTGAAACTGCAATCCCTGCTTTATGAAACACATCAATATTGTTAGGTGCTTGCATCCATACAGCTGTTCAGATGCAGAATTTATTTTTAAATCGCCATCCTGTCAATGAGGTGTTTACCTGTCTGCTTGGATCTTGCCCTTAGCTATGCCAGGTTATTTGGACAGGTGGCTTCATGGCTGACTCCATGATTGCAGATAAGCTTTGGTGGTGACACAAACCAAAAGCTTTTTGAAGCAGTGAGGGAAGGTAGCTTGCAATGCAGATTAGATGCAGTGCTGGAGACAGCTTGCCTTTGGGCTGGAGCTGGGAGGAGGCATGAAAACCTCAGTTACACACAAGTTATTACAAACAATAACATGAGTTATTATATGCATAACTCGGTGATGTCAGAGCCTTACGCATGAACAGCACACAGCCGCATTTTTATCATGTCCTTTTTTAATTGCCCCTAAACAATCCCAATGGTATGTGCAAAAGCTTGCAGCTGAACAGGTAACCAGAGACATATTTTCCTGGAAACCTCAAGGTTTGCATGCATCAGCTCATAAGGAGAGAAAATTAAGTTTATGCCATCTGCTTCATGTAGGCTGGGAATCTCTGCCAGGAGGCAGAGCTGACCCGTCTTGGGTCTGCGTATCCTTGTGGTACGGCAGCGCTGCCACGGGAGTGAGAGGGGATGAGTCTCTCTGCGAGGGCGTCAGGCTCAAAAGGGCCATAGCACGCAGGGCAGTTCCCAGGCACAGCCTTGTGCCCGTGCCTGCTCCCCCCTCACCTTTACTGTGGATTAAGCAGACTGGGTGCATCCCTTGTCCCGTGGCACAGCACCGTCATCTCATCAGGACAGGGAGAATGAGTTGGGGGGGGCAGGAAGGGACAGTGATTTTGTGGAAGGCAAAATGTCTAGCATCATCAGCCTGTGAGTTTGGGGTGTCTGAGCAAGAGGAGCAGAATAAGGCAGAAGCAGTGCAGGGTAAGTCTTTCTTAAATGCGGGATTTAGAAAAAGCTACGACTTGTGCATCAGCACACAGGACTCGCTGTGACCCTTCCAGCCCTGAAGCAATAAGCGTCAGATGCTTCAAAACAAAGTGCAAGAAACCTCCTTAGCAGGAGATGGAGGTAATGCAGCCCTCTGCAATGGCCAGTGTTGGCACTGTGACCAGCCTTGGTGCAGAGGCAGCCCTGAGCCTGGACCTCGGGGGCCTGGCTGATGCAGGAGGCCAGCCAGAGCCCAGTTCCTGCGGTGAGGGTGATGGATAGCTGCTGACGCTTGCTGGCACTGCTGCTGGCCATTTCTCCCTGACTCTCAGCACAGGCTGACGCAGAGCAGCGAGGAGGTGATGCGGCACTAAGAGGGTGCAAACTCTGCGTGGCGTTGCAAGGACGTAGTTGGACATCTGTCCAAGTGCATTGCGGGATGGCTGAGGGCCGAGGAAGGGCGACTGGGGAGTGATTCAAAGTAGACTATGAACTGTCTGCCATAGATGTTTCCAAAGTACATATTATACAGTGCAGTAAACAGTCTATAGGCCAGGAACAAAGAGAGCAGGTTTAATTGGGCCAGCACGGTGCTGGGACCTGAGGGCCATAGCCTCTGAAACAGAGACTACAGGAGGCAGCAACTCACCCTCTAATTTGGGGAAGAAAATGCCAATCTGGCTCACCCCTCCCGGAGCGGCTGCAGGCAGTGTCAATAGGAGTGACTAAGGAGCAGACAGCAGTGGCCACCTGAGAAAGACCTGAGCACGCCCTGGCATTCAGTGCTCCTGCTCCCACTGCTCGTTACCTCCCTGTGCATGGCTCTGTGCATGACTCCAGGATGAATTCCCACTGCAGCAATTGCTACCTCTGGCTCCGCAGCGCGGGAATGGCAGACACGAGCAGGGAGCACAGATTCCATCGAGGACCTGTGGCGATGGCATCCTCACCCGTGTTATGCCAGGAGCTGTGCAGCCATTAAGAATGAGGTTCAGACTATTAATGACATGGGATTCAGACTACTAATGACAAGCCCTGGGAGAACCCTAAGAGCTCACTGCTGACTGCTGTGTCTGTGTTCAAGGCAGGGAAGTTCAGGTCGCCTGCCACGGTGCCTGGCTTCATTCTGGCTTCTTACACAATCAGTGGTGAGAGGTAAATGCCTTCTCTAGGCATCTTATATAGCATGATTTTTTTCTTCATGGCTTGGATTTGATAGTTCAGAGGGACTGAATTAAGATGCCATGGTAGGTGCTTAAATGAACTGGAGGCACTGCCACTGTGGGAGGTGAGAATATGGCCCTAAATCAAACCATCTATTGGTCTAAAAATCTCTTCTAGGAAAAAAAGCACAAGTTAGAGGCTTGGTGCAGGGTGCTTGGTAAGATTCTGGAGGCTGTGTTGTGCTGTGGACCAGACTGGAGAGCTGCAAACATCCCTTGCAGCTTAAAGTGATGTGTTTGGCAGGGCAGCTAAATAAAATCATAGAACCATAGAATCGTTTAAGTTGGAAAAGACCTTTAAGATCATCAAGTCCAACCGTTAACCTAACCCTGCCATCCCACCTCTAAACCATGTCCCTAAGCACCACATCCACCTGTCTTTTAAATACCTCCAGGGATGGGGACTTGACCACTTCCCTGGGCAGCCCATTCCAATGATTGACAATCCTTTTGGTGAAGAAATTTTTCTTGATGTCCAACCTAAACCTCCCCTGGTGCAACTTGAGGCCATTTCCCCTCATCCCATTGCACGTCACCAGGGAGAAGAGGCTGACCCCCAGCTCACTACCCCCTCCTGTCAGGCAGTTGTAGAGGGCGATAAGGTCTCCCTTCAGCCTCCTCTTCTCCAGGCTGAACAACCCCAGTTCCCTCAGCCGCTCCTCACAGGACTTGTGCTCCAGACCCCTCACCAGCTTCCTTGCCCTTCTCTGGACACGCTCCGACCCCTCAATGTCCTTCTTGTAGTGAGGGGCCCAAAACTGAACACAATATTTGAGGTGTGACCTCACCAGTGCAGAGGACAGGGGCACGATCACTTCCCTACTCCTGCTGGCCACACTATTGCTGATATAAGCCAGGATGCTGTTGGCCTTCTTGGCCACCTGGAAGTGGAGCTTATGCTCCTCTGAAGTGTTGCAAGGAAAATAAGGAGGGAGCGCAGGATGTGGTCCGAGGCACAGCGTGTAGGAGCAGTCATAATGGAAAATATACTTCAAGACCCATTTTACACATTGCTTTCTAGAAAGGCAAATTGCATCCAGTAACTGTCCTCTCTACTATTTCAGATAGACGATCCAGAAAATGACCTGCATGAGATGGTGCATGAAGCCAATATTGGTGGCACTGTGGCCAACCTTGGTGCAAATCAAGCCCTGACCTCAGACTATGTGGGCTCTGGTTACGAGAGAGGGCTACTCAATCCCAGCTTGCTCAATGAGGAGGATTTCCAGATGGCCACTTACACGCTCACCAATGCTGTCCCTCTGAGCCCATCTCTGAGCAAAAGCTGGCACAGAGATATTGGGAAGGTAGTGGAGCATGCTCTGGTCCCTCACTGCTCCAGGAAGGATCATCTCTATCTCCTTGCGGGTGCCATTCCTTCCACTGTCCGAGTTAAAGGCAAGGTGTCAGTGCCAGAGACCCTCTGGCTGGCAGCCTGCTGTGATGGTCCAGAAGGATGGTCCCTGGGACTAGTGAAGAAAACAAATGATGAAAACAGCTTGGTGGACCTCATGGTGGGAGAGCTGGAGAAGCAGCTTCTAGCCAGGGTTCACTTGTTCAAGGGCAACTGTGGGGAAGACAACCAAAGCCAGGAGAAAAGAGAAGCAATACTGCAAGCTGTCAGTCAGATTCGCTCTGGAGAGCAAGTAGGAACAAGTGACAACCAGGAGGCCAAAGACAGTGGCTTGATGAGAAAAGTGGCTGGCATCATTGCTACCCCTTTCATCAAACTTCTGGAACTCCTCATCTACGTGTTTGTGAAGCTGGTGAAATTCGTGTTTTATTTTTTCTGGCTTGTTATCAAGGGGGTTGGTGGTACAGTTCTGGATGGAGTCTACAGCCTGTGGAATGGGGTGGTGTCCTACCTCAAAGCCATCAGCATGGTGCTCATCAGCATCCCCTATGACACGGGGAGGGTCATCATCAACATCTTCCTGGGCTTCCTGCAAATTGTTCAAGATGTGGTGTCCCTCACCTATAGGATCCTGAGCATCCCTGTGTGGTTTGTCCTTCACCTCGCTGCTTTCCCTTACCACTCCATCTGTGCCATTCCCTCTGTCCTCAAAGACATGGCCAGTGGGATCAAGGGCACCTTCTCGCTGGTCATCGATGCCACAGCCACACTTCTGCATGGCTTTTATTACTTGGCTGGTCACATAGTGAAACGGTTTGTCCCTAAAGGCTCCTCTGATGACTGACAGGGATGGAAACCAAGGCTGCATAGACACGGAGTGAAGGAGGAGTGGGACAATGCTTTAAGATACGTGGCCAAATGCTGTCAATTTTCTTCTGGTATTTATTGTAGTGACATTAATAACAATGAACCAACTGGGGAGTAACGGGGAAGGCCGAGGTAATATTGCCGGGGGACACCACCGCTGTAACTAAAGTTCTGTCTATTGCAAAGTGTTCAGGTTTTATCGGTGCAGGCCACAAAGTTTCTGTGATTTGTCAAGATACTTCCTCTAGGAGATGCATGCTATGTGTGGTACGGGGTTATTTCTTTCTGGCAAAGGTAACACTGAGACCTATGCACTGGGAAAGAGCTCCACAGAAGTCCATCCCTGGGGAGGAGGTGATGGTTGGGGCAGGATTTTTGTTACGGAGGGCATTCTGGGACCTGGGGAAGGGAGAAGGAGGTGAGGGTGCAAGGATCTGGGGTTGGTAAATGGTGAGGAGAGAGGAGGGATGGGGGCAAGGTCGTACTGTTGGTTGCACTGGTCATTGCACCAGTGTCCCACTGGCGGAGGGGGTGCAACTGGGTGTATCTCATAGTCCTCAGGCCTTTCCAGGCAGCTGAAATCATGTGGATCTTGCTGTGAGGACAGACCCGTTGCCCATTCTTTTGCATGGTGAGAAAACATTTTCCTTTAGCTGTACCAAAGTCATCTTCCCCCAACCCTTCCTTCTTCTCTGGTGACCACTGAAGGTCTAAGCTCTGAAGCTTCAAGACCTGGCATTCCATGATGGTCTAAGGCCCTGAAGGTCTCAGCCCTGAAGCCCTTGTGCCTGCTCCGAAGCCCAGCGGCACCCAGGAGTCACGCTTTTGGCTTGGAATCGGCTGCCATCTGCCCACCCTGCCTCCCTTGGGAGCTGCCAGCTCCCCGAGCACGCAGCAGTGTGTGTGTGCTAGAGGTCTCCACAAGACGATGCCCAGGTTGGGGATGGATAACGTCACAGTTGTCCTTCTGGGGTTTGTTTTCAAACCCCAGCTTGCTTGGGGAAAATCTTCCTGGGTTTTCCTCTAGGGCAAAAGAAAAGCATCTCTGCCCTTCCCACTGGGCTGAGTTGCTGGGAGGGACATCCTTACAGAGAGGGGACATGGGAGAGGAGATGCCTGGGGACCACAGTGGGGTTTTGCTGCTTTTGTGGGGGTTTATTCGGTGTTTTCATAGCCTCTACCTGATGGTAGTGTCAGAGCGGGGCAGGAGCCAGCCCCAGGCAGGACAGGTGGGTCCTCTTGGTGCTTTGCTGGGAGTGAAGCTGGCTGGAGAGATGTCGAGGAAGTGAGTCCTGCAAGCGGGAGGGAAAAGGTGGAGGGAATAGGACACTTGTGCTGAGTTGCTTACACTTGGAGGTCCTGGCAGCACTCATGGCTGCTCAGGAGAGGAGGAGAGATCTGCATGGCTGTTGCAGCTGCAGGGACCAGCATGGCCAAGCTCAATGTGAGCCCTAGCAGCAAAGGCTTTTGCTGGACATTTCCCTTCCTTATCCAATTTCAGAAATCTGGAGGGAGAAAGCAGTTGCATTGCCCCTTTCTCCCATGGGGACTATGGACTGTCAGGTGGGAGGAGAGGCGGACAGGGAATCTGAGGCACAGCTTTGGTTTTACTGTATAAATACCCACCTGGTGAGCCCATGCACTACCAGACACGTTTATGTGGGAGGGGGACCCAGCCCCTCTTCTGGCACTTGCCCATCCTCCCTGCTCGCTTTTCTTTACCCCTTCTCTCCCCATTGTGAGCCAGGATCCCTGACATCTGGGACACTGGAGCTGGGGTGCACGGGGGGGCTTTGCAGGGAACCACGAGGGGTTTGCAGCCAGGCGAGGGGCACAGGGGCACCCACCACTGCTGGAGGAGGGCACAGGGGTGCTGCCCTTCCACAGAGGGCTTTGGGTGTCTTGGTGCAGCTGCCTGGAGGAGGGAGGCTCTTGGTCACAGCAGTGTTTGCTCTGGCTGGACTCCCAGAGGCATTTGGGAGTCCTACATGGATGGATCCTGCCCTTCACGCCCCCCTCTGTCCCTCCCTCTAGTGCGAGGTTGGTTGTGGACCCCTGATCTGCCATAGCACCCTGTAAGGAGTCCCAGGAGCGTGCAAGCCGGTGCTGCTGTCCCTGTGGGGGACCCAGCGGTGCTGTGTTGCTGGTGGCCAGTCCTGGGTTGAAGGAAGCCCAATTACTCAATGCAGCAGCTTTGCTGCTTCACGCTGCTCACAGTGGGGCTGAGCTGGGGGGAAAGAATTCATAGAATATAATCACAGAATTTTAGAATTGTTTAGGTTGGAAAAGACCTTTAAGATCATCAAGTCCAACCGTTAACCTAACCCTGCCATCCCACCACTAAACCATGTCCCTAAGCACCACATCTGCCCATCTTTTAAACACCTCCAGGGATGGGGACTTGACCACTTCCCTGGGCAGCCCATTCCAATGCTTGACAACCCTTTTGGTGAAGAAATTTTTCCTAATGTCCAACGTAAACCTGCCCTGGTGCAACTTCAGGCCATTTCCCCTCATCCTCTTGAGGGTATAGGAGATTTGGCTGGTTCACAGCAGTGACAGAGGGTTGTTCCCTTAGCTCAGGGGCTGCATTCAAGGCAACCAGCTGTGTGTGCACATACCGGACCAGCACACCCCGACCAGGGGGCACCCCACTTGGCAACGATGCTAATGGCATCCTTGGGGATGCCAACAGGGTGGATGCAGTGAGGGGGTGGCCGGCTGAGCAGGGGCAGAAGACAACCCCTTGTCTCACCCTTCGTGGTCCATGGCTGGTTTGTGGAGAAAGAGGGGCCACCTGGCCAGCAGCAGCTTTTGTGTACCAATATGAGTCTAACCAGGTGAAGTCAGCAGTGTTTTACAAATCCTTCCTTTGCGTTGGAGCTGTTGGTACAGAGATTTCAGGTGCAAGGGGCAAAGTCCAGGTCACTGCTCCTAGCAGGCAGGCAGCAGCCTGCAGACTCTCTCAAAACCAAACTTTGCATCTTTTCCTCCTCAAACATGCCTTCCCTCCCTGCAGAGCTAGATGCAGGGCTGGTTTCTAGCTCCTACATGGGACCCTGTCCCAGCCCCTGCACCCCTCTCAGACCACGTGGCAGCCACCACGGCAGGAGAGCAGCCAGCTCAGGTCCCAGGAGCTGCCAAGGTGCAGTGACCCCGGGTCCTCAGCAGCCTCTGATGGCGCGTGTGGTGGCAGCAGCTCTCAGGTGCAGCCCAAGCAATGGGGAGGAGGCAGCTGCCCCCCGAGCTGCCTCTCTCGTGCCTTCTGCGTGGCCTCATCTCTCACCCGTCCTAGCCCTGCAGCGCTGCGCAGTGGCCAGTGATGGGGTCCTTGGGGGTCCTGCACCCAGAGCAGCTGCCCCACACCCTACCCCACCAGCCCCTGCATCCCAGCTCCACCAGCACCTCCAGCGCACCCCCTGGTCACAGTGATGCAGGAGATCCTTTGCTGAGGGGCCGCAAAGCTGAGACACCTTGGGACGTCTGTGTGACCACTTCTCCATCACCATTGCTGCCCAGCCTAGCTCAGGTCAGGCCAGCACGTCTCTGTGCTGCAGCCGCATCCTCTGACCACCCTTGAAATCTAAGGGGCTGCAGCACTGTAGGAGTTGGGCAGATGTGGAACAGTATCGTTAAAAATTGTCTTAACATGCTCGGATTTCAAATGCTAAGAGCCGCAACTGGCACAGGGCGTTTTTCTGCTGTGCTGCGTGTCCGAGCAGGCGATGGGAAATCTGCCTCCAACGCTGAGCAATTATCACGGAACAAGCAACATCCTGCTACAAACTAACTATTGTCTGAGATTATTCTTATCTGGGCATGATTTATGGCTTGTGAGCTTTACTCTATCCTTGGAAACCTATGGCTTCAACAAAATAAAAGTTACTTTTCCAAAGAGGGGCTGGTATCACGTTTCTGTCACAGTTGCAAACGAGATAGAATCATAGAATCATCTAGGTTGGAAAAGACCTTTAAGATCATCAAGTCCAACCATTAACCTAACCCTGCCATCCCGCCACTAAACCATGGCCCTAAGCACCTCATCTATCCTTTTAAATCCCTCCAGGGATGGGGACTCAACCACCAACCTGGGCAGCCCCTTCCAGAGCCTGACAACCCTTTCTGTGAAGAATTTTTTCCTTATGTCCAACCTAAACCTGCCCTAGCGCAACTTCAGACCATTCCCCCTCGTCCTTTCGTCCATTACCAGGGAGAAGAGGCCGACCCCCACCTCACTCCCCCCTCCTGTCAGGCAGCTGTAGAGGGCGATCAGGTCTCCCCTCAGCCTCCTCTTCTCCAGACTAAACAACCCCAGCTCCCTCAGCCGCTCCTCATCAGCCTTGTGCTCCAGATAATGCAACCCAGGACCCCCCGGCTGATCAGGAAAGGACCTGCAGCACAGTTGTTCTTTGTTACAGCCTGACACCTGACATTAATGGCCCTTTTGTGCTTTTGAAACACCTTTCCTCTCTCAAAGTGCTTTAAAAGAGACGATTCATTAAGCTGCAGAATATGTAGGTAAAAGCTGGGGGGTTGCAGGCGGCCAATTCAGCTCTGTGGGTGCCAGAAGAGAGGCAGAGGGGAGGTTTTATTCTTCTGCAGTGTGGTTACACCTGGGGAGCAGCACGGTGGCCAGTTTGGATATAGAAAAATCACATCACGGCGGGGAGATTGTTTGCAGCTGACAGGGAGAAACTCTCCCTCATGTGATGCTGTGCCCTTGACTGGTTTTACCACATCTTCTTTAGAAGGAAAACAAGCACTGCCTAGCTGTGGCCGTTTTCCTCCACTGGGAGTATAGAGATCCTGGGATGAGTAAACGAGGTGCTGGCACCTGCCTTTTGCAGGTACCTCTCTTTGGGCAGCTGAACCCCTCCAGCGGAGCCTGCGTTCCTCTCAGGTCTGCAGGAACTGGTGAGATGCTGGAACAGGCTGCCTGGAGAAGCTGTGGATGCCCCACCATTGGAAGATGTTGAGGTCAGGTTGAATAGGGCTTTGAGCCACCTGATCTAATGGAAGGTGTCCCTGCCTCACCCAGACCACCCAACACTTTGACCCAGGGGTCTCTGTGCACCTCGAGATGATCCTGGGCTCTGTCGCATCCACCATGAGGCTGGGCACCAATAAGGCAGAGGGACTCAGCAAGCCCAGTGGCACGGCTCCTGCTCTCAGCCCCGGGCTCAGGTCCTCCGGGTCACACCTCCGCTGCTTTTGCATGTTTCGGAGCTGCTCACTTCCGTATGGAGCTCCATCACTGGCTCAGTACCTCCCTCCCGCCTGGGACCTGCTCCAGCTCAGCAGGGAACCGAGCCATGTTTGTTCACAGATTATCTCTCCAGTGTAGTCAATACCAGAAAATGGAAAAAGTATTGAAAAACGAATACCAGCGTAACTTGTTTGGCGAGGAAGTTTTGCCCCAGAGCAAGGAGCGTGAGGTGTGTCTGGGGTGTGCGTTAGCAGGGCTGCGATCCCGTGGGGTCGGCACAGGACGATTTCTCCTCGCTGCACAGTCTCCCAGGCTGTTGGACTTTGATTTGGGAATGGATGCACACCGGGTAACATCTGCCATTGATTTCCATGGCACTGGTGTTTCCAGCCAAGCAGAAAGGCCTACAGACTTTCCAGCAGTGTTAAGTGTTACAGCTGGTTGGAAAATCTCCAAGGGAATACATCCTGTCAGGACAGGCTGATTTATCAGACTTTTCATGGCAATTTGCCATTTTTAGTGGAAAAGATCTTTTCAGGTCCAGGCGGGAACAAGGACCGGAATCATCCAAGAGCAGCCTGCGGTCTGCATGAGAGGTTTGGGTGTGGACATTCAGCACCTGCTCCTGCCTAAAGCCAGGCCTGGCACATGAACGTGGCTGTCTTCATCTCCGAGCGGTGCCCTTACAGCCACGGCTCATCTTCCCTTATGTCCCATTTTCTCCCACTTTTAAGGGTGAAAAAAACCTGTTTCCTTTCCAAAACTACTGAAATTGTGACCATTTTGCTGGGAGGCAGAAGGCATTTTCCACTGAGCCTGCAGCAAAGTTGCCTGCAAAGCTGAAGCGGTGGCTTCAAATTCCTCTGCAGTATCATCTTTATTAATAACTTGATGTTTTAAACTAATTTAACATGGTGGAGAGTGGACCTTTGGAGCTCACTTCACTGTGTGTTTAATACTGTGATATTGTGGATTTTGCCTGATGTCCCATTGTCTGCTGGTGGAAGACCAACGGTTATCAACCAAAGCATGGGCGCTCCTTGCTGGTGGGAGGTGAGCAGCAGATGGATGGGATGTTTCCAACCAAGTGGCTGGGAGCTAAATAGTGAACAGTAATGGCTGAGAAGATCTCTGCTTGGTCCTGACACCTGACGCTCATCCTGAGATGAGTGGAGCAGCTCCAGAGGGATGATACAGTAGGCTCAGGGAGGCATCGATGTCTGGATACTCGAATACTGTGTTCAGTTTTGGGCCCGTCACTATAGGAAAGACGTTGCGTTACTGGAGCATGTCCAGAGGGGAGCAACAAAGCTGCTGAAAGGTCTGGAGCACAAGGCTGATGGGGAGCGGCTGAGGGAACTGGGGGTGTTTAGCCTGGAGAAGAGGAGGCTGAGGGGAGACCTTATTGCCCTCTACAACTGCCTGACAGGAGGGGGGAGTGAGGTGGGGGTCCAGGGCAGGTTTAGGTTGGACATTAGGAAAAAATTATTCACAGAAAGGGTTGTCAAGCATTAGAACGGGCTCCCCAGGGAGGTGGTTGAGTCCCTATCCCAGGAGGTATTTAAAAGCCGGGCAGACGAGGTGCTTAGGGACATGGTTTAGTGGTGGGATGGCAGTGTTAGGCTAACAGTTGGACTTGATGATCTTAAAGGTCTTTTCCAACCTAAATGATTCTATGATTCTATGATTTATGCCACCGAAGTGTGGGCATTTAAAATCTCTTCTCTGCAGGCACTGGACTCTCTCCATTCAGTGTAAATTATCTCACCAGGCTTTCACTCAGGCACCTCAGCTGCATGCCTAAAGCTGGGCCCAGTGAAGCTCAGTTGGGGTTGATGGGGCTTGTCCCACTCATGGAGGCCTTTGAGGCGTCCATTGACATGGGTCACCCAGATGATTGTACAGGTGGGATGTTTTTTTCCGCAGCCCCTTGGAAGTCTCTGGGGTCACTAAGTCCTTCCTTGCAGGTGGGAATGATGCCGGGGGCTCATGCCTCCTAAGCGCTGCTGGAAACGACCCCCAGCACTCGCAGCGACATTCGGGCAGTGGTGGGGTTTGTGTGTGGTCCTGCTGCAACACATGGGA